ATTCAAGTCATAAATTGCAGTTGTTTTTATTGAGTGAGGGCATATGCAAGTATTAAATTTTTCATAAAATTTTCCTATGTTCAAATTTGATCATTTTGAACAAAAGCCGGCAATTGATACAGTTGTTTTTCGGCTAACTCACGAATTTTGTTTTTCACATTCCAGGGAAACAATCTCCTTTGAAAATCAAAAAATCCAGGAAAACAATCTGTCTACTAAAAATGTTCCTGGGTCTAAAATTGTGACAATTGCTATTTTTTGTTGTTTACTGAGTTTGAAATTTACAAAGATGCGTTAGGTTCCTTAACAAACTAGTAAGTTACACTTTACTTACTCCAAAAACAATGAAAACCTGAGTTTGGACAAATGATAGACTGTGTTTGACGTTTCAAGTGGTTTCGTCAAAACCCAGTTTTTGTCCGACCTGTTCGGTTAGAGCAATTTGAGAAAACATGTGAGTCAATTGTTTAATTTATCAGTAATATCAAAGATTGATTGATAAAAATGAAAAAAAATTTCCAAAAAAAATTTGATATGTGAATAGAATAACCAGTTGGTCAGATAAAACACTCTGAAAAAGGAAAAACCGAAGAAGTGTTTTGTTAAGGATTAAATATATCAACATTTTAACTCGAATGAGTTCACAAAAAACGCTACGGCTGGTTAAATGAAAATTTACATTGGATTCTTATACACACAACTTGTTTTACAGAAACCCTGACGGGAAGAGAAGCTGAGCTACATTTGAATCATACAGTTTTGATTTTGTCCACAAGAAACAAAAACCAAAATTTCCAGAGTGTCAAATAACTGGTGTTGTCAAAACTCATGATCGAACGCTACAAAGAAACACGTACGCTCTAAGTACGTTTGTTGGAAAAAGCGGAAAAAATCACAACTTTCAACAAACAAAGCTAACCGATTTTCGCAAAAATTAAAATTTTTTCCAAGAAATTCCGAGCAACAATCAGTAGTGGTTTTTAACGTGAGAAGATTGTCGTCACTTTTTATTGACTGCTTTTCTTTCTCCTACTCATCTTGCATTCATCGATTTTGACAAAGAAGAAAGTTTCTCTTCAATTAAATTAAAAAACTTAAAGAAACTAATTTGAGAAAAGATAATTTTGATCGATGTGTAATGTCGAGAAATAGAAATAAAATCGAGGAAGAAAATACCTTTATATTAAAAGCCAGTACAAAAAATAAGTTTTTAAGCAAATGCTAGTCAACTAAATCAAATTAAAATTAGCATTTAGAGTTCAGTTATGATTTTTTTTGAATTTTCAGGAAAATATATATCGAAATTCTGATGAAATATCGAGAATTTTTTAATCATGAAAAATTTTGTTTTATTTTGTTGGAGTCTTCTTCATCCAAACGGGGGAAATTTTATTTCAACATATTTGACTTTGATTGCTGTCTAGACAGAATCAGAGTGCTTTTGTATCAGGCTCAAGTTTTCAAGCTATTCGGCTTAATCGTAATTGTCTGGTTTTGTCTAAAATTGTTAATATGACTGTTAAGCTATTGGTTGCTGAATACACATAGATATTTATGAACATAGCTCAGTAACAGAAAAATTATGCATTTTAATTTATCTCAAAACTTTCCAACGATCACAGGTTAGACTTTCAGTTAACATAATGCTAATTTTTTGAACATATGTATTGATTTCGTTATCAAGAACTTTTCTATAAATATACTAATATGCTGGTGCTATTGTAGACTGCAATGAATGGATCAATTTCTTAGTTTTCAACATTTTGCTCCTGGCTCCCCACCCGTACCCCTATTGTACCCCACACACACCCCAAACTATTAGAGGTGTCCAAACTATTACTATTAAGGTTTTTTATTCGAGCGGTCAACTTGGTTTCAAATCTGTGTGTTGCCATGTCTCAATCAAGTAATCTGAGCAGACAATTACGAGTGGCAGGCTACAAAAAACGCTCAAAGTTGGTAGAATGAGAAACAGTAACATCTTGACTTTGGCATTGAAAATTGGTGTTAACTTTTTTAAAAGCATGCTCTTTTAGATTTTGCTTAGATCTTTCTCGATAATTTTTTATCCACAAACAAAACTAGAAAAACTATCATTCAGTAGCTTCAATAACTAAAATTACCGTTTGACTGTGGGGTTTTAACGGTATAAGTTTCTCACTTTTGTTGCAATAATAATTTGTAAAATAGCGAAGTTAACCATCCAATTTCAAAAAAATGCGGTATATTCTTTTCAAATTGACATTTTTTCAACGATGCTTTCATTCTACTCACAAACCAAAACACAATTGTTCGTATCAGGGCGAAGCTTTGAAAGTTCCGACTGCCTTTTCAGGTTCATGGGGCAGTAATAACATTAAAAAGTTAAATGTGAAAAAAAAAACAAAATGAAATTTTTTTTTTTGAAATTTGAATTTTTAAATAAAAATCATCCCCCCACACGCCATATAAAGTACAAAAGGATAGATTTCGCTCCTTGTAAGAAATTAATTATGGCGAATAAGCTTCTTTCAACCAATTTGGAACGATTTTTAAGACGGATTAATTCTCCGCTTACGCGTTAATAGCAGGAAATATATCGCGCGTTAATTGTCCCAAATTGGCCAAAATGCCAAGCTTTAAACCCCCATAACTTTACGAAAAATGGGCTCTTTTTCCTTTCCCCCCAACTTCACTACTCAAATAGGAATTTTATGGTCTAACGAGCGGTTTTACAAGGTTAATTATGAAGACAAAATATGTTTGTCATGGCATAATCAGTCTGCATGTCAATTTTCACGACAATCGGACAAAGTGAACAGTAACTTCAGATATAAAAATTTGCAGGTGGGGGGGGGGGGGGGGGGGGAGGAAAAAGAGCCAAAAAATGATCACAGGAAAAATATTTTTTTAATTTAAGCTCAGGGCAACAATACCTTTCGAATGATATAAAAAAGTTCCACCAAAATAGGCTAGTTAAAAAGTCGAAATTTGTCTGAAGAAAAAAAACCCAGACCGAGCACAAATATTCCGTTACTTTTGTATCGAAAATCGGAACATTAAGAATCTCTGAAAACTTTCTTGCCAGCTCATGAAATCAAATTTGAAGAAGCTGACAAAATAAAAAACAAATAAAATAATAAGAATTGCAAAAAAAATACAAATTGAACAAAGGTTTTCTTGGAAACCCCACAGATGCAGCAAACTTTTTCTATAAGAGACAGCGGATCAAAATTTAATAAAAAGTTAGGAGATTAGCTTATTTATTACTATGAAACCCAAATAAAACAAGACTGCTCGTATCAGGGCAAAGTCCTGAATGTTCCGACTGCCTTTTAAGGTTTATGGAGCAGTATTAACATTAAAAAATTTAAAGTAATAAAACAAAAAGGAACAATTTTTTTTTCTAAAATGATCAAACGCTACAATGAAACACCTTCAAAACGATTTGGTTTTTTTAAGTACGTTTTTTGGAAAAAGCGGAAAAAATCACAGTTTTTTTAAAATTTCGTGAAAAACTTTTTTTAAGCTAATTTCAACAAACAGAGCTAACTGATTTTCGCAAAATTTGAAAATTTTTCCAAGAAATTCCGAGCAACAATCAGTAGTGTTAAAGAATAAAAATTTCTATTTGAAAGTAAATTCACATTTTTTCAATCATGTTATGATAACCCGATCAAACAACAATAAATCAAAAAGACGAATTAATTAGGTTTTTTTTTAACGTGAGGAGATCGTCGTCACTTTTTATTGACTGCTTTTCTTTCTCCTACTCATCTTTCATCCATCGATTTTGACAAAGGAGAAAGTTTCTCTTCAATTAAAACAAAAAACTTAAAGAAACTACTTTTGAGAAAAGATAATTTTGATCGAGATGTAATGTCGAGAAATAGAAATAAAATCGAGGAAGAAAATACCTTTATATTAATAGCCAGGGCAAAAAAACGTTTTTAAGCAAATGCTAGTCAACTAGTTCAAATTAAAATCAGCATTTAGAGTTCAGTTATGATTTTTTTTGAATTTTCAGGAAAATATATATAGAAATTCTGATGAAATATCGAGAATTTCTTAATCATGAAAAATTTTGTTTTATTTTGTTGGAGTCTTCTTCGTCCAAACGGGGGAAATTTCATTTCAACATATTTGACTTTGATTGCTGTCTAGACAGAATCAGAGTGCTTTTGATTCAGGCTCAAATTTTCAAGCTATTCGGCTTAATCGTAATTGTCTGGTTTTGTCGAAAGTTGTTAATATGACTGTTAAGCTATTGGTTGCTGAATACACATAGATATTTATGAACATAGCTCAGTAACAGAAAAATTATGCATTTTAATTTATCTCAAAACTTTCCAACGATCACAGGTTAGACTTTCAGTTAACATAATGCTAATTTTTTGAACATATGTATTGATTTCGTTATCAAGAACTTTTCTATAAATATACTAATATGCTGGTGCTATTGTAGACTGCAATGAATGGATCAATTTCTTAGTTTTCAACATTTTGCTCCTGGCTCCCCACCCGTGCCCCTATTGTACCCCACCCACACCCCAAACTATTAGAGGTGTCCAAACTATTACTATTAAGGTTTTTTATTCGAGCGGTCAACTTGGTTTCAAATCTGTGTGTTGCCATGTCTCAATCAAGTAATCTGAGCTGACAATTACGAGTGGCAGGCTACAAAAAACGCTCAAAGTTGGTAGAATGAGAAACAGTAACATCTTGACTTTGGCAATTAAAATTGGTGTTAACTTTTTTAAAAGCATGCTCTTTTAGATTTTGCTTAGATCTTTCTCGATAATTTTTTATCCACAAACAAAACTAGAAAAACTATCATTCAGTAGCTTCAATAACTAAAATTACCGGTTGACTGTGGGGTTTTAACGGTATAAATTTCTCACTTTTGTTGCAATAATAATTTGTAAAATAGTGAAGTTAACTATCCAATTTCAAAAAAATGCGGTATATTCTTTTCAAATTGACATTTTTTCTCAAAAAAAAAAGATTTATGATATGAAAATCGAAATCTGAATAATTGAATAATTTGATTATAAAGAAACTGATAATATTTATTCATTTCTTAGCTGCACACGTGACTATAAAGCGTTTATATTTTTGCACCACAACTGGGCAGTGTTTTCGAGCCATTGCAGAGACGCTATTCTTTGAAGAGTTGATATCAAACACTCGATTGTAATTTCCTTTTAGACAGTTGTATGAATGTGCATAATGAAAAAAGCTGCAGTTATTTCGTTCTGAAACTTCAGCCTCTTGGTTTGGATTGCAGATATGATGACTCGCTTAAACATAACCAAAAGTGAATTTTTAAAGTTCTTTTTCTTCAGATGAAATAAAACACACAGACATGTGCGTCATTTATAAAGTTATCTGAAAACCTTATAAAAACAAACTTCGACTAAATTTTTTCAACTAGACTTTTTTGTGAAACAAAAGATTTGCTGCGCTTGAGCGGGATGGGTTGGAGCTATGTTTGCCGTGTTGGAGCTGAATAAATATTTCAGGCGTTCAAAAATAAACCTTTTTCGGGTATGTTCATCGTTGAATAATGAACAGCCTTCTCTACAAAACGAGACAAGTAGACAAAATAAAACGCAAAATCGTGTTTTTTTCTCAAAACATACCCGGGAATTTAACATCATTTTTCATGAACCGAGGGCAAATGATCTGCGCTACCCTCTAAGAGAGCATAAGTGTTTGTTTACAGGACTTCTTTCTATGTCTAAAAAAGCTGGTTTTGGTCATCTGCAATTAGTATTTCTAACGGGGTGAAAGTCTAAGGAAAACTCAATTACATTTATGTATGAACATTTTCCACAGCGGTTGGTTGAAATGTCACCCACATTTTCAACTTCGGTGATTTCTGTAAAAAAGTCCTTTGAGAATAGTTTATTTGTAAATAACTTAAGATCTGATTTTTTCAAGGAAGTTGTTTTAAGAAGTTGTATAATATTTAGGACACAAAAGGGAAAACTGCTAATAAAAATATGCTATTCCATCATATATTTCAGCAGAGGTGCAATAAAACACATATCCGGGAAACTTATTCTTGATGAAGGATTTGAAACTTTTTTAATCGGAAGTTAAGCAACAACCTTTCTCGACATTTTCATCAACGATGCTTTCATTCTACTTACAAATCAAAACAAGACTGCTCGTATCAGGGCGAAGCCCTGAAAGTTCCGACTGCCTTTTAAGGTTTATGGGGCGGTAATAACATTAAAAAGTTAAAAATGAAAAAACAAAATGAAATTTTTTTTTTTGAAATTTGAATTTTTTTATGAAAATCATCCCCCCACACGCCATATAAAGTACAAAAGGATAGATTTCGCTCCTTGTAACAAATTAATTATGGCAAATAAGCTTTTTTCAACCAATTTGGAACAATTTCTAAGACGGATTAACTCTCCGCTTACGCGTTAATAGCGCGAAATATATCGCGCGTTAATTGTCCCAAATTGGCCAAAATGGCTATCTTTAAACCCTCATAACTTTACGAAAAATGATCACAGATGAAATATCTTTTCAAATTTGAGCTCATGACAACAATACCTTTCGGATGATATAAAAAAATTCCGTCAAAAATGGCTAGTTAAAAATTCGAAATTTGTCTGAAGAAAAAAAAACCCACCCGAGCACAAATATTCCGTTACTTTCGTATCGAAAGTCGGAACAACAAAAAAGTTCTTCGAGTTTGTCGACAGCATGAAGCGATCGAAAAATGTAGTTAAAGATGATCAATCCAACCAAAGGAAGATATCAGCTGAGACATAAAAAACCTTTTTTTGTTAAAATTGGATACAGTTGAACAAAGTATTAAAAACAAAATGCAATTTCAAAACAGGTAAAACAAAAAATTATAGATGCCATCTATCCAAAGGGAAAAAGCATAAACTTTTGAAACCATCGGTAGTTTGCTTAAAAAATTTTGTGATCGCTACGGACTCTCGATTTATCATTACTCCCGGCAATTTGTTCGATTTTGACGGTTTTATTTAAACGAGAAGAATTGTGTCAGAAAAATTTTCCGAAGAACGCCTGCCAAATTTGAATTATTTTTTTATTTTAGTTTTTAATTTTTGTAAATTAAGTAATTTTTTATTAATTTTTCTTATATTTTGAATTTTTAATTTTTTCTTTTTTTCCTTAATTTAATTTTTTTTTAATTTAATTTTTTCTTAGGTTTTTAAAATCAATAGAAGATAAGGATGGATAGCTAAATACTTAACCAAGTTAAATTAGTCACTATTGACCTCAAAAAAATTAATTGGTGAATTTGCAAGGACACAAGTAAACCTCGATTTGAGCAGCTTTTTTAAAACTTTTGTCAAACTATTGATAGTGACATTGTCAGGGCGGATTTAGGGGGGGGGGGGGGGCGGACGCTTCTTTTTCAGGGGTTCGACCCCCTGCGAACCCAAAGGGTACCCCCCCCCTTTGAACTATTTTGAGATATCCAATTTTGGCTGACGGACCCTAAAATTTTTCTAAAGGTGCCTTTGGCGCCAATATATACTTAGTTTAATTTACACTTAGAGCGCGCGCAGAATAACGCGATTTTTTGTTAAAAGTTTTCCAAAAAGTGCCTAAAAACGCATTTTTGGCTTGTTTTTTAGGAAATTTTTCCTGCGGCGCAAAATTTTTGGCCAAACCAGGGGCCTTTTAATGCTTTGGAGTGCTCGGAAAATCAATTTGGTTGACCTAAAAAAAAAGGTCGACAAAATATAAAAACTTCGAAATTTTTTTAAAAAATCCGCTCCCCCCTCGAGAAAATCTTAGATCCACCCCTGGATATTGTGCATATTCAATCTGCCAACGGCACCTACAGAAAACGGTGTAGGTAAGTTACTTTGGTTATCAACTTGTTTAGTCTAGTTGATTACGTCTTACCGATTACAAAAACAAGAACAATGTCATTCCCAGGTTCGACAAAAAAAAACAAAAAATTTTTTGTTCGAATCAAAGGTTTTGAAGCACTAAAGGTTTTAAATCGTTTTTGTTGCAATTAACAGTCACCCAGTACAAGATCTTGTTTATCGAAAACACAGTTCATAACAACAAAGCAAAGTGTCCAGAACTATCGCTCTGAACAGAACTTACTTTTTTTTTCATATCACCCTAATACGTACACAAACAGGTTTACACAAAAAACTTAACATAACCAAGTTTGGTCTGTTGTTGAGAAACGATAACATCTTGACTTTGGCAATGAAAATTGGTGATAATTTTTTTAAAGCTTGCTCTTTTAGATTTTGCTTAGATCTTTCTCGATAATTTTTTATCCACAAACAAAACTAGAAAAACTATCAATCAGTAGCTTCAATAACTAAAATTATCGGCTTACTGTGGGGTTTTAACGGTATAAGTTTCTCACTTCGGTTGCAATAATAATTTGGTGCCAATATATACTTAGTTTAAGGGGTGAGCGCGCGCCGAATAACGCAATTTTTTGGTAAAAATTTTCCAAAAAGTGCCTGAAAACGCATTTTTGGCTTCTTTTTTCAAAATTTTGCCTGCGGCGCACAACTTTTGGCCAAACCAATGGCTTTTTTTAGTGCTTTGGAGTGCTCCGAAAATCAATTTGGCCGACCTAAAAAAAGGTCGACAAAATATAAAAACTTCGAAATTTTTTTAAAAATCCGCTCCCCCCTCGAGAAAATCTTAGATCCGCCCCTGGTCATTGTATTGTGCATATTCAATCTGCCAACGGCGCCTACAGAAAACGGTGAAGGTAAGTTATTTTGGTTATCAACTTGTTTAGTCTAGTTGATTACGTCTTACCGATTACAAAAACAAGAACAATGTCATTCCCAGGTTCGACAAAAAAAAAACAAAAAATTTTTTGTTCGAATCAAAGGTTTTGAAGCACTAAAGGTTTTAAATCGTTTTTGTTGCAATTAACAGTCACCCAGTACAAGATCTTGTTTATCGAAAACACAGTTCATAACAACAAAGCAAAGTGTCCAGAACTATCGCTCTGAACAGAACTTACTTTTTTTTTTCATATCACCCTAATACGTACACAAACAGATTTTCTTAGAAAAAAGCTTAACTTAACCAAGTTTTTGGTCTGTTGTTATCAATTAACAAACAAGGATGAAGTTTGAATTTTACTTTTCGATTTGGGTCTCACAACTTCTGGTTGTCTTGGTTACTGTTCCAATATGTTTACCTTCACCTCGAAAAGTCATAGCTTATCTCACAAATGAATGCAAAAAAAATATTTGTTTGCGAGCATTTGGTATTCCAACCACCGGAGCGACACAATAAAACTTAGAGAAAATCGGATAAAAATTGAAATACACGGCAGCAACGTTCATGTCAAACTGGAACAAACAAATGGAAATCCAAGAAAGTATTTAATTCCCTAAAAATTGACATCAATTGTAAAACGGAGAGATGGTTTTGTATGAAAAACTGCATTCATTTCAGCAAATCATGAATATTTCATTCAATTGAAGATTCAAGATTTGTTCTTTTTTATTTGTTTAACCTATTCATTTAATAATGAATTTGCAAATATTGCAGAAGCATCTTATTATGATTTCACCCACCCAATAATTACAAATTGTGAAACTTTATTGAAACTACTTTTCAGGAAAGCAATCGCAAATAAAATTGAATTTTTACGGATGGGTGAGCATAAGTCTCTTCTTTTTATCACTTCAAATTGAAACTGCAAGAGAGATTAAGATTAAGATTAAGAGCAATTACAGTCATCAAGTAATAAGAACTATCAAAGTCTTGAAGTAGGCTAAATCTAATCGGGCTAAACAAGTTTTTGAACCTAGAAGAAAATCTTCAAAACTTAGAACTGATGACGACGACAATTTGGTTCTTGAAGAAGAACCCAGGGGGATAGCGACATCATTATTTCTAAATAACACACAACAGCCCAAAAAAATTTAAATTTATCTATAGCCAAAAAGTTTTTTGAGCTTTAGGAATACCAGACGACCGTGTTCTCCACGATTTTACCAAAGCAATACTACGCCAGTCATCAAGTCATCTAGATACAGCATCTACTTCTCTTGTCAAAACAAGAACCTAAAAACAACTTATGCAACCCAAGTTTCCTCTCAAAAATGAAAACTCTCAAAATTTAAAACGAGGATGCGTACAAAATTGTTGACTTGGAATGTATCAAAAAAAACAGAGCAAAGCAAAGAAGAATCTGCCCATTTTGAAAGCCCTGAACCAACTCCAAAAAGCAAAAAATGGGTTTCCTCTTTGGAGGAAGTGAAATTCCTAAAAATTATACGATGAACAAGAACGGCATGTA